AGATGAGTAAGAATAATTAAATGGTTTAATTATTTATTTAAGGCTAGGATTAATTAATATGTTAATTAATCAAACGAATAAGTTCGTTAAAGACATTGGGTTAGTTTTGGGCCGCAAGGCCCAATGGGATTTGAATGTCAAGCCCATTAACTCAAGTTGTATGACAACTTGAATAAAACAAAGGGCTTGAAAGCCCAATAAACCTATAGGCCGGCCATGTGTAAAAGAATAGGGCTTTTGGTCCATTGGGTCACTTATTTGAAGGAACTATATAAAGGACTTTATAGCCTAAAATTTACTAAGGGTTATTTTTGGGGAAAGGATGAGAACACAAGCTTTCCTTTCTCTCAAAAATTTCGGCCACCTTGGAGGGATCATCTAGCAATCAAACTCCTCCAAGGTCACTCATTTCTTCTTCATTATGCCTTGGTGATGAATCATTAGAGGTTCTCAATTTTGGGAACTTGGAGAAACCTTTTCATCCATCCAAATCCATGGATCTAAGATGCAAGGAATGAAGGCCCTCTCTTTGGGTGATTAGCCTTTGCTTATGCAAAGAGGAATCTACAAAGGTATTGATTTCTCAACTCACTTTGTTTTGAGTTGAGTCTTGGTTCACCTATCTACTAGGCTTTGAATTTCATGGGTAAATGATTTGTTTTAAGTGCATACAAGCATGATTCCGCCTTTAATTGTTAATTGCATGCTATTGATGTTGCTTAAATGAACATGTTTTTCACAAATCTTCCTTCACTAGACCCATCGTCTTGACATAAACTTGTGTTCTAAGTTCATCAGTGTCGTCTTCGCTAGACTCAATTAGAGATTGAATATTGCTCTCCATGGTTGCCTTGCAATACAATTGTAAAAAAATTATAAAAATTTGTTAATTATCGTTCAATTGGATACATCCATCTATATTGAACAGGCCCTGCAAGAACTGCTTCATCTGCCAAGTGAACTGGGAGGTGCACCATTTTATCAAAAAATGCATGAGGGAATATTTTCTCAAGTTGACATAATGTCAAGGCAATTCTTGAATTCAATTATTGGAAACCTTCCTCAGACTACTTTTTACTACATAACTATCTGAAAATTACACTCAACTCTAATAATACCATAGTAACAGATTTAGGCAAAACCAACCGGGCGTATTGCAAGCGGGGGTAACTGCTGCATTAAAACATGACAATCGTGACTTTTCCACCCATGTATTTTTTCGTTCATTCACGTGCACACATCGCGACAAATTTGATGAATATCTATAGGGGACCTAAATAGTAGACAACACTTTGCAAAATGTAGTTTTTTCTTCCTTTTTCAACATGAAAAATGCTGGAGGTCGAAATGTTCTATTTCCTTCTCTACGTGGGTGTTAACTACGTTTTTATGTTCAAGACTTCAAGATCTGCACATGCAGCCAATCCATCTTTAGGCTTTTCTATATCTAGCAATGTTCCCACCACATTGTCACATATATTCTTCTCGATATGCATAACATCAAGATTGTGTCTAATCAACAGATGCCTCTAATAAGGTAGTTCATAAAAAATAGATTTCTTTTTCCATAGACTGTTACGACTTCTACTGCTCAAAGTTCTTCTTCTGTGTTGCTCAACTGAAGCATCTTTGTTTGGTTTTCGAAAAGTAAATCTCAATGTAGGAAGTTCTTCAAGACATTGTAAACCAGTCAACTGCCTTGGTGCACTACGATGCTTTTGCCGACCATTAAAAGTTGTGGTTTGCCTTCAAAAGCTATGAATATCTGCAATCTTACGAGTCGTCGGCAAGTAAACAGATTATTTATCATGCATGCAATGTGGACAGGCTTTATAGCTATATGTACTCCATCCTGACAATATTCCATAAGATGAAAAATCATTTATGGTCTATAAGATGATAGCCTTCATCGTAAAATTTTGGTTGGAATACGCATCATAAGTGGGAGTGCCCACCTCCTATAACTCATTCAACTCGTCAATCAATGGACGCATATACACATCAATCTTTTTACCAGGACTGCGCAATCCTAGTATTAACAGAGACAATAACAAATTCGGTTCTTCATACACATCTAGGGTGGCAAATTGTAAATAGAAAGCACCACATGCCATGTGTTATGGTCATGCCCCATTTTCCCAAAAGGATTAAATCCATCACTAGCCAACCCTAATGGGACATTTCGAATTTCAGACGCAAACTTCGGATATAAATTATCCAAATGCTTCCATGCTAGAGAATATGAAGGATGCTTCATAACCTCATCCTTAGGACATTCAGTTGTGTGCCACCTCATATGTTCAGCCATATGCTTTGACATAAAAAAATCGTTGCAATCGTGATTTTAAAGGAAAATACCACATAACCTTAGCTGCGATTTTTTTCCTCGAGCTATCCTCTACGTTGGTAATTTTATATCTTGATTTACCATAAATAGAGCACACGATCAACTCTGAAGTGTCTTTCCAATAGATCATGCAATCATTGAGACACGCATCAATCATCACATACGTCAGACCCAAGTCATTTATAGGTTTTTTTGCCTTATAACAAGATTCATGCAAACAATCCCCTTCAGGCAACATTCTTTTAATTAACTAAAGTAATGTGGTGAAGATCTCGTTCAACATTGCCGCTAAACACTTGATTTGATATAGTTTTACAACCGCTTCCAATTTCTTAAACTCCTTATAACCTGGCCACAAATCTTGATCTACTTCTTCAAGCAACCTAAAAAAAGTGTCCACCTCTTTTGGACGCCCTTCTCCAAAAGGGGGTTCAGTAGACGGCCCAACACCTTCTTCCGTTAATGGTTGGACAAATACATCATTAATAAAAGCATGCATATCAATCACCTATTCTCCTGTTTCCTCTTCTCCAATTGCCACATTTTGCTCTCCAACGTTGGGCTCACCATGATGTTGCCACCAAGCGTTTTTATAATCTTTATCCATATCATACAATACAAGTTCAACAATAGTTTTCCTAATAAAAGTATATTGATTACAACATCTTGTGCAAGGACAAATTAATTCCAACACCATTCGCAACCGCTTGATCCAAAAACAAATTAATTCCATTTGTATACGCTTTCAAATTTTGGGGTATCATCAACCAACTCTTGTCCATGTTTTACCACTTTATGAGGGCAAAATATTATGTTGACACTAAGATCCCTACAATCTTTCAAATCCCTATCATGTAGGCGTAACTATTAGAATTTTCAATTCCTATCTTTCAACCCTTTAACTCTATCACGGTTACAATCTTTTAATTTCCAACACCTATTATAGTAAAAACAAATTAAAATAACAACAAAAGGTTATCAAAATTATGCTAACCTAATCTTGAGTGTTTGTTAAATTCAAGTTTTGTATATCCTCATAACAATTAGATTGCAAAAATAAATTAATTTAATATAATATATTCCTATATTACCAAATATTATCAGTTTGACATAAATGTTTATTTATTTAACATGACAATAAAGTGACTAAATAAATTAATTTGACTAAATATTTATTTATTCAACATAAATACTACAAATTTATCTAATTACTTAAATTAAAAATTTTAAATAAATAAACTTGTGTATTATACAATTTAAAAAAGTAAGGAATTTAGTGATATAAGCTTGAATTATGGAAGAATTCCGTCGTTGATCAATTCTTTATGTACTCAACCAGCTCAAATAAAATCCCTACAAAATTAAATTGTAAACAAAAATTAAACATAAGAGGAGAAAATAAAAATAATAGAAGCAAGAAAAACTTACTGTGAAGAAGAAGGAATAAATGAAGATAAAGAACAAATAAGAAAGACGCGAGAGAGGAAGAAGAAGACACGGGGCAGGGTATATAAAGAACACTAACTTGTCGACTACAACCGCTAGGAAGTTTGAAAATATTTAAAAATAAAAATATACTGTCGAGTAGAAGTGCAAGAAATGGTTCTTTAACCGAAATTAACTTTTTGTTGGTTGAACACTATTCTCTTTTTATACCACACCATCATTAAAAAAAAAATTATAAACTATGTCGATTATAAGCGATATTAACAGTCTAGTCAGTTATAAGCGACATAGACAGTCTATGTCAGTTAAAAATTAAGAACTACGTCAGTTTAATTCGACATTAACATTATATGTTGGTTATAAATGACATTACATCCGACACCATGTCTAAAGGCTGTCTGACACACCCCAACCGAAATCAAGGCGTGTTGGTCGTCACGTGAGGGTGACGTAACCATGTGCACAGTGCGGAAGCAATATTAGTATAAGAAATGCGAATAAATAAAAACCAAACAAACTAGAGCACTAAATAAGTTAAGGTGCGAGACGAAATAAGTGTGAATTCACAACCAAAGCATAAGTAGCCTACGTGCAGTCCAGCATGACGAATACTAATTATACAACACCAAAGGTAATCCTACAATGGTGATAATTTGTCAGAGTTGTCGTGGATTCCTAGCAAGCCACCAAAAAGCACTCCTAACTAGAACCTGAAGGGGCGCAAAACAGAAAGTGTGAGTGGGCAAAAACAAAGCTTTTCAAAATCATTTCATTTCTCAAAAGTTCTAACCCCTCGCCGTAAAACTTGTATAATTTCCTAGAAAATAGAATATATAACTATACCACAACTCTGCATAGATTAACAAATCTCTCTCATATGCCTATGTAATGCTCCCGGAAGGTCTAATCCCTTCTATGCTACATTTTGTGGTCCATTGCTTACTAACTTGACATCAATTAATTCCTTAAAACTTGAAAAACCCTCATCCCAATATAGCATAAATGTCAACCTTGCTGCATTTTTTTTTTCTTTCACCTACTTTCTAGCGCTAGCATTCTTAAAATAGTCCTGCTACATTTATCATCTATTCGTACAATCTTAACCATCTCTCTAATAAAGATGATGCAAATCCAGTTAAGAATAACATTTTTGTTCTTAAAATATTCTTAGTGTACATACGCATCTTATTTTGGTTAACTTTTAACGATGATTAATATCACGAAGAATGGTAAGCGTTCATGGAAACACTTAATTGGAGGCAGCACTGCTGGCCCGCTAGATCATAAGCAACTGGTATTTCTAAAGTATGTTAACAATTCTAATTACGAAGTTAGTTGGCAACTAGCGTTTCTAAAGCATGGTACTCCTCGCTCCTACAGGAGAGAGTTTGATGCATGCCCTCGCACGTGATCATTAGCGAGAAGCCAATTTTACTTCATTGTTTTCTTTGCTTAAAAAAGTTAATAACTTTTATTCCTATAGTATATGAAATAAATTTGAGATTGATAGTTAGCCTAGCTAGCCCAATGGTGAGGTATCAGTTTAATATATATTCGTCCCCGTTGGCAAATTTGGCATGACCATAGTGAACATATGTAGCTAGATCCATATATTGTAGTAGTTATGATATATGAAATGTTTATTTTTTTTCCCCCTGTTTAGTTATTATCACTTGTAGTTGTGATAGTTTAATCAATCTGTATGAATCATGAGGTCAATAGACAATACAGAAAATAATTAAGATTGGTGTTGGATATAAACTGAGTTAATTGATTATTATCCATAGGTGAGGATATAATACCAAAGAAAGACTCAAGAACGTTCTTGTCGTTCATTGGAAATTTGGACAAACGTGTGGAGCTGGACAAAAGCATCAAACATGGAGATGGCAGGTATAATGCAGCACTCAGTATGATGGCCTCTAAAATATCTTACGAGAACAAATTCTACATCGAAACTACAGTCCAAGATCACTGGAAGGTTTGATGATTTTATTCATATACATCTTTAATATATCCCATGCTTGCAATAATTTATTAATATTGAATTAATTGTAAAAACATTTTTTTTTCCTTATTATTTTGGCAGATGGAGTTCATTGGCTCTTACGACTTCCGGAATGGTAAGAATTACTAAAACTACTCAAATACTTTTTTTTTTAATGCAACAATATTGGGTGGCCACACAAGAATTCTGTTACACAATATGCTAGTAATAATTTAATATATTAAATTCAACATTTGAATACTACTACATTGGTAAACATTTATACATGTAGGTATACGCGCAATCAATTGTATGAAAACAAAAACTGAACTTATATACTGTCTGGCAGATTATCAAGGAAAATCCACAACCCAAGCCTGTATTCTACGTGACAGAAATGCGGACCATGAAATTATTGTTGTGGCCTTTAGAGGCACTGAACCCTTTGATGCGGATGCATGGTGCACTGACTTTGACATCTCCTGGTATCAATTTGAAGGGGTTGGAAAGATCCATGGAGGTTTCATGAAAGCTCTAGGTTTACAGAGAGATGTTGGTTGGCCGGAGCCAGAGAATATCAAACAAGTCGATGCCGGCCCAGGTGGCTTAGCTTACTATGCCATCAGGGACATGCTGAAAAAGCTTCTGCTTGAAAATGAGAGAGCAGAATTTATAGTAACTGGGCACAGTTTAGGTGGTGCACTAGCAATTCTCTTTCCAGCAGTTCTAACATTTCACAAGGGAAATGATTCAAAACTCTTGTTGGAGAGGTTGGAGGGAGTTTATACATTCGGGCAACCTAGGGTTGGAGATAAGGCTTTTGGGGAGTACATGGAAAAGAAAATGATACAGCACAAAATTAATTATTTTAGGTTTGTTTATGGGAATGACCTGGTGCCTAGGTTGCCTTATGATCACAAGGCCCTAATGTTCAAGCACTTTGGGAGTTGCATCTACAGTAATAGGGAATATGAACTGCAGGTATAATCGTTTTCAGTTTTCAGCTAAATTAAAAACTAAAATTAAAAAACTAATTAATTTGGATAATAATCATTTATATATATTTTTTAAATTAAAAACTAAAATTATTCAATTTCAAGCTAAATTTATAAAACTCATAAAAATTATTTTTAGATTTTTGTTTTCAGTTTTTAAAAAAATATATATATATATATGAAAACGTTACCAAAGAAGTTTTACTCCTAAGACGTACACTCCAAACTAAGAACTTTAAAAAAAAACATAGACCTTAATTTCAGTCCACATTATAACATAGTTACATGCTTCTTATATATGCTGTTGATTATATGTGCAGGTTCTTCCGGAAGAGCCAAACAAGAATTACTTCTCCCCAGAGAAGGTAAAACCGATGGTGGGCAATGCTTTTGGTGAGCTGAAAAGAAGTTTCACCATTCCGTATATGAAGGGACCAGACTACAAAGAAGGGCGATTCCTCAAAATGGTTAGGCTAATAGGTTTGGTAATGCCAGGAGCAGCAGCCCATTGTCCCCAAGATTATGTAAACGCCACCAGATTGGGATCCTCAGATGTGTTCTTACAGCTCAAGCATTTCTTGTGAAATTAACCAAAAGCCATATATAGTCCTACAACTCTAGCAGGACTCAAGTGTAATTAGATTCAAGTTTCCCGGTTATTTATTCACTTCAGGGTTAAAAACCTTTTTGGTTTTATGCCTAAAGTCTATTTTAGTCATTTAAGTTTAATTTAACCAATTTGGCATTGTGATTTACAAAATTTGTAAAATTAGTCGCTTCAGTTAATGTATTAAAATTAAGAAAAGAAAAATACAATGGATATTTGTGAATTTCTATGTGGCAACTGCAATTCTACGGCACGGGGGTGATGGGGGGTTGCGGAGGGAGGACGGGAGGAGAAGAGAAACGACGAGGGCTTGGGGTTTTGTTTTCGTTGAAATGGATTTTTAAAATATCTTTAAATTTCCTATTTTTTAATTAGTAAACAAATAATTTAATAATTATTTAACAGAAAGTTAACGAAAGTAACTGGCATTGCAAACTTCGTAAAACATAATAATCAAAGTGGCTAAATTAAAAATACTGTGACCATAATAGATTTTCAACATAAACACATGATAGCATTTTTTTTAAACCCTTCAGTTTAAATACATTGCATTTATGTTTGTACAAACATACTGCCATGTCCAAAAATTGAGATTCGTACTGTTTACTTTATTTTAATTTTATGTGTCCCTAGTACTACGTCTAATGATATTTTTTTATTAATTTAATTATTACCGTTTACTTAGTGTGCTTCTTTGCTCAATTCTCGTACTCTACTTGTATAAAAGAAAATCCGATCAATACACTAGCACGCAAGTCTAACATTATTCCTCTAATAAAAAAAACATTTTACAATAGCCATTGCGTGCCTTAAACCATCTTTTTGTCTGCCTACATTAATTAAAAAAATATATATGCCTTAAGCCACCTTTTGGTTGTTGTGGGACATGCTTATCACGAACATAATTAATCATCCTATGTTATGTCTTAATCTCTTCTTCCATGTACTGAATTATCTGCATATCCTGTTGGTGGATCTTTTGTTAGTAAGGCATTCGAAAGTTTTGTATAGTAATGTTCGTAACTTAGGGCAGTTGTGATTAGCTAGGGCATCTCATTTAACACATTAGATAATTATAAAAAAAAAGGAAAAAAAAAAAGAAAAAAGAAGAAGAAGAAGAAGAAGAAGAAGAAATGATTCACTTAAAATGAGAAGTACTGCATTTGAAATTAAGTAGCTCAAGTGAAAAGCAAAAGTAAACTATTATTTTGTTTTAAAGTGCCCAAATTGATATTTAATATAAAGAAGAAAATTTAGGAGAGCCAAAAAAAAGTTTAACAGAAACTTAACTATAATATTTACATTTATTTAATACTAAACAAACAATTAATAATAAACAAACTAATATGTGTCTTTAATCTGGAAAATTGCCCAAAGATCACAATTTAAAGGATGTCGCTGATACCTGTTTTTGGCATTCACCTTGACGGAATAAGTAATTATAAAAGTCGATCGTGCACGTTCCTCTCTATATGTGAAAATTTGGTGGTTGTAGGTGTGGACTTCCACATGACGTTTCGGGTAAGTTGTACAAGATGTACTCGTGCTGCATGCTCATTTAATAAAATGAGAGGAATAGGGCTCACCCCAACAGTGGTGACGCCGTGGACTATAAAAATGTGTGTATAATTATGCTGTGCGGGGTCACACTCAAGTCAAGTCATTGATCAAACATTCCCAACATAAATATGTATACATAATTATATATTTTTTAATACACCAATAATATTATACAGCATGGCGTTAGAATTTTGTGGAATTTATCCCACAAAATGAATTCTGTCAGAATCAAATTTATGCACATAAGTGAGCAACATTCAAGCACAAATATTAGCAATTTGCAAAACAGTAAAACAATCCTGAGTAAGCCTAGGACCAGGGGGTGTGTTTGCCAAAAGATCTTTGACGGTCAAGTTAGTTAATGATTTTAGATTGAAGTAGTAGGCAAGAATTGAAGTGTTTAGATTGCGTTACTATAGATGAACCCTGAATGGGTGTACTTATACGATGGGGAGAGAGACATTTTTAGGATTGAATCCCTACAGAATCCTAAAGGATATCTAGAAGTAGATATTGCATTCTCTTACGAGTTATGATTACTTGTGGCGCACATCAATTCCTAGATTGTAGGAACTCCAATACTTTCTGATTGTATCCATATCCGGATCAGATCGCATATCTTGCAAAACAAACATGGTTATCCAGCAGAGTCGCTACGATTCCGCCTAGTGCCCAAGAGTATAATGATGGTGGAACCGTTACTTCGTCTAATACAGCTCCACCCGATGTTGGTAAGTCCATGACCAGACTTTTATGGTAACTGTATTCGGATCATGTTTACTCCGGCCCTAGAAAATCATGGTCCCACAATTTCCCCTGACTATCCATCTAAGACGCAACCTATTCCTCTTAAGGATGGATTGTTATCCAAAGACCATGCCCTTCGGAGTAAGCTGGAATATGTACCGTATGGTCTTCAACTTTTTGTAAACGATGTAACTTTGGTTTTGTATTGGTGGCGTTTCAGATTCAGTTGAATAACCTTGAACTCCATGCTTCAGACCTTGTAATGATGATATATTGTACCTGTTATGTGTGCACAAGAAATAAGAAATCTCCTCTGATAACCTACCCCAAGGTCATAACTATTGGCCCTGTTGATTCCGCGACGAACCGGTCCATGTTCAACAGTAGGATGACTTCAAATGTTTTTAAATATTAGTCACATCTTTACTCTTACTTCTTCACTGAATCTCTAAATTTTCCTTGTTGCCCCAAAGAACACTACAGTTCTCTTCTTCGATTTCATTTTCGCCATTGCTATTTTTTCTCAAATTTCAGTGAAATCATGGCTACCAGCTACTCTCCCCAACCTGCTGCTCCTGCTAACCCTGAACCTTCGATGGTCAAGGTTTGTAACAAATGAGAAGAAGAAGCATTTCTCGCTAGTCGTAACCATCTCCTTAATGGGCACCGGGTCTGGTGGGAACACACTGATAAAGTGATGGATGATCTCCCCACACCCTCAAACCATCATAGCCTTTGTGCTAGAATCTATCCATGTTATCTTGATTTGGGGCTAAGATTCCCTTTGTCGTAAATGTCGAAAGAAATACTCATGCATTTCCAAATCAGCCTGTGCAACCTTACTCCAACATCCGTACACATCATCTCATTTTCGAGCATCTGAACGAGTGATATCTTGCTAGATTAGGTTTGTCTAAGTTCCTCGTCATTTACAACCTTTGGAAGAGTGCCGAAACCCATTATATTTTTAATCTCGGTCTACGCTTCGATGGTCTATTTAAATCATTAGGTTGCATGGTTAGGATAAAGACTAGTATGAAGACATTCTGCTAGTGGAGGGGAATTGGGAAAGTGACATATATGGACCACGAGCTCCCAACAAACCAAGAACAAAATTAATTGCAAAACTGATGTTCAGAATCTCGGCCCATGTCATCATGAGCTTATCAATATGGTTTTTCGTATCATCCTCACTCCACATCGAAGTTGGAAGTGGCTTAGTGCACCAGATAGAGAATGAGCGCATGGATGGTTGATATCATTGACCTTTGTTCAAACTATCCTATCCCTAACCCCTATGGGGTTGCAGCCAATGATGCTCTATAGCCACCAAAACGTACCAAAGGTGTACCAGATATTGAGAAAGAAATGAAAATGAAGAAGTTAGAAAAAATTGCTCCTAAAGAGATTCATGTCAAGGTTTCTAAAAAGAAGATCAGACTAGCAAGCAGCTTCGGATGTGGCCAGGATGTAGTGCCCGAGATCGTTGACCTCACTTCTTTGGCCTATGAGAATTTACAGCAAGCTCCCATAATCCTTAGTGGAGAAAGAGGTAAGTCCATCCTCGAATAGGCGCCATCATGGAAGCAGGAGTCCTTGAAGAGGCCGTTGTAGCCTTCAGTGTCATGACCCAAAATAAATTTTATTCGGAAGCTAAATCTGATGGTAGGCTAGTAAAAGCCATGTTTAATCATAATTATTAACCACAATAAAATTTCCTTTTTTACCACTTACTAACAAAAAAAAAATTATTTTGTTTCTTTATGGTTGTATCTAACCTTCTTGTTAGACTGTTTACGTACCCTACAAAGAGATCAAGCCAATCGTAGTTCATAAATTATTTATTTATTTTTAATCCATTTTCTATGATATTCAAGTGGCGAACAAATATGAAACTACATACACAAATTGAATCACATCAAATGAAAATCAAATATTAACTTAGAATATTGAAATTATCTTAAAAAGACAAAATCGGCCATCTGGCCACACGCCGCCATAGACGGCGGCTTCCGACGAAATTCGGACTAACTCTAAAAACTTCCAAATTTTACAGACATGTAGAACTCAATGAAGGAAATATTTTTCATATCTAGGCTGAAGTCCAATTCGGCCAAGAAGATGTCTGAAATCACCTTGATTTGCTGGAAACCCTAGAATGGGTGTTCTTCAATTCGATCTCCCTGTTGCATCACCTGTTGGAAATGTGCCCTAAAACCAATCATATGATGATACTTTACGGACATTTCAAACTAATGTAGTTTAAAGGGCAAACATTATTGTTTGAGCCGTCTCATATAAATGTTATATGCTTAAACGATAAGTCCAAGGAATATATGATTGGAAGAATGCGATCTAAAGAAGTTAGATTCATGAGACCATTCTTTCGTTGACACATCCTAAACGTTCCTGATCATAGGATTGTCAATTGGGCATTGACAGTCCGTTAAGATCAGTACGTGCTATGTCTTCTCTCAGGGAGAGTGACTAGTCTCGAGTCATTGGTGTGTGTGACATCAAGACAAGTACGTAGGTGCTCAATAGAGAATGAGTTCACTGAACACGATCAACGAAGAGTTCTCATATTCATGTCACATGAGAACTCATGGTTGGGATAATGCAAATTAGTCTTTTGACCTGAGGCATCACAGTTGTCTTGTGGTTAGGTCCTTAATCTTTGATTATGTCAACGTCACTCTATCAGGGTGTCCACGGCATCGTCGGGGTTAAGCCACTTAGCCATGGAG